CCAGGAAATAGCCATGGACCTGCACAGTGGGTCTAATATTGACTGCATGTGTCACCCTGAGAGTGTGACCCGCCATGGCTGGCCAGTCACCTTTAGATGGTCTTTTCTGGCCACTGTAAACTATATTTTTTGTGATGCATGCAGCACTGTGAGCCTACCGTCTGCTGCTTTTCAAATAAGTGTAATGGGCTGTGAAATTAGTTTTATCTGTGCACACAATATGGCCGCAGAACAATTGTGGACTATCTAGTTTCCCTAAAAGCCGGGTTTGGAAAGTGCATTTTCACTTAAAGTGGCATATAGCCATTACAAAAAATGCTCCAATCCACAATTTACACATGTTCTTTAGTTGGGAAACACATTTTACCAGCCTGTACAGGTTTCATTTGACATGTCTTTTCATTTGATTGGATGATATTTTTGTCTAGTACAGACAAGTGGGCACAGGTGTCTGCATGACTACCCATTCACCTGTGCTCCCGCAGTCAAATTCAGCCAAGACATTTCTGGTTTGATTAAGCCACAAAGGGACTGTGTGATGGACCGAAGACAAGAGTGCACTGACCTGTCACTTCAACCCCCTCCTGCCTCCTCTCTCTGCCCCTTCTCTCCTGACCCCTGCCTATGCGGTCTGCTCTCCCTGGGCTGCCTCTGACATCCACTGCCCTCCTGTTCCTCATCCACACGTACAGCCTATCACTTCCCTCCAATCCCCACTCAGCCTCTCACTTCGCTACTCCAACACAGAAACAACAAGGCCTGCCTGTCCTCCACCTGCATGCATCTGATCAATGCCTTGATGGCCCATCTCATCATGCAACTCTTTCAGTACAGTGATTGTATGCCTCTCAGGTAATACAAACTGTGTTTTGTTAACTGTCTTCCTGCGATCATCGCGGATCTGAATTTGTTTCGTGGTTTGTGTTCCAGCTGTCGATCAGCTGTGCGCAGCGTCTCCACTGCAGCCTGTGCGTCTCAACCCCAGCCCGCAGCAGCTCTATATCCACCAGTTAAAGGAAATAAAACAAATGTGTTCTGTTATATTAGCTGTAACACCAAATATGGTGTTCTTAGTTTCCATACCTCCTATGTTTTTACGAGCGACAGAGCGTTTAAAACCTATGACGTTTGAATGGGTATATGTGACGGGGCTCTATTTGTCCATTCACAAACACTGGCCTAGTCGGTTGGGTTACGCTCCAAAAAACTTTATTCTTAACAGCAACAAAAAATATACGAACCAGCATACCTTAAACAAACAAAATAAAAGACAAAAACAGGCCGTCCATCACTCATTCAGAGTAAACGTGTTCTGGCTGTTGCCTTCTCTGCAACAAACCCCCGAACACGTCCCAGCTGTTGCCTTCACTGCAACATTCTTCAGAGTGCCACAGTCCAAAAAAAACCCGTCCCTTATGAGCCCATAGCCCCTCCCACAGGCTTACCGTCAACAGGTGACACAATTAGCTCAAAACCACATTTCAACATAAAAATCCGACCCAAACATAAAACAGGTTAACCACCTCTTAATACAATCATTCCCCATAATTAACAAAAGTAAAAATAAATAAGAAATTGCATGGTTCATTTGACGGAAGAGAGCAGGAAATGTTTGGTGTGTCGGCTGTCAGTGGCGGAGTCAGTCACTCTGTGACCCGCTCCGTCACAGTATAGAAGTCCAAAAGAGATCAAAACCTAACTCGAACTAAATGTATCCAAAAAAAGGAAAAAAGGAAACAATAAAAAGGAAAAAACAGAAATACAAGCTGGAAGTTGCAGAAGGGTCTCACTGACAAGGTCGTCTGGCATCTCAGTCTACTGGCTAAGTGGGTTCAGAGGTCAACAGACTGCACTGAGAACCATGGGGGAGGAAGGTCACATTGTTGCTACACAAACAAATGTATTTTATGTGGATTCATTATCATTATAAATCTACAATGAGTGTTGACAAAGCGATGTTTAGCCTGTACCACATTAACCATCTTAGTTTGGTGCGTTAGTGTAACAATGTTTTGATCTGTCAGTGATTTACTTGCCATATGTTCAGCAATTTAGTTTAGGGAGGCTCACCAGTGTCCCCCATCAGACATAAGAGTTTTGCCAACACGGTTGGTTATTTAGCTCAGAATTCGGGAAAAATGAAAATCATTCAGATCAATATGTTCTCTGTATGTTAGTGTTATGAGTTGTTTCAATAAAATGCTCAGAAATGTAATGAGTGGATGTAATGAATTGTACAGAGATAAACAGCTTTACTCGTCCATTCAACAATTAGTGGCATGCTGTGTTAAAAACCATGAAAAGCTCAAATGAGCAACATGGATTCTGTTGCTATCCAGACAACGAGTAATATTACATTACATTTAGCTGACGCTTTTATCCAAAGCGACTTACAATAAGTGCGTTCGACCAACAAAATACAACTTGAAGAAAACAGAATCATATAAGTACATCAGGCTTCATAGAGCAAAAACATTTCAAGTGCTACTCAACTGTTTAGATAAGCCAGTCCTTTATTAGTATAAAAGTGCTTCGTTAATAGTTCTATCGCTCGAAGTGGAGTCGAAAGAGATGAGTTTTCAGTTTGCGCCAGAAGATGTGCAAGCTATCTGCCGTCCTGATGTCAATGGGGAGCTCATTCCACCATCCTGGAGCCAGGACAGCAAACCCACGTGTTTTCGCCAATGGGAACTTGGGTCCCCCTCGCAGCGAGTCGTTTGGCTGATGCAGAGCGTAGTGCACGCGCTGGGGTGTACGGTTTAACCATGTCCTGGATGTACGAAGGGCCAGATCCATTCGCAGCATGGTAAGCAAGTACCAGTGTCTTGAAGTGGATTCTAGCAGTTACCGGAAGCCAGTGAAGGGAGCGGAGGAGCGGAGTGGTGTGGGAGAATGTAGGAAGGTTGAAGACCAGACGAGCCGCTGCATTCTGGATGAGCTGCAGAGGTCGGATGGCACATGCAGGTAGACCAGCCAGGAGGGAGTTGCAGTAGTCTAGGCGTGAGATGACGAGAGCCTGGACCAGAACCTGAGGCGCTTTCTGTGTCAGCTGGGGACGTATCTTCCTGATGTTGTAAAGCGTGTATTTGCAGCAACGGGTTGTAGCAGCGATGTTTGCAGTGAAGGACAGGTTGTTATCTAGGGTCACACCCAGATTCCTTGCAGTCTGAGTCGGGGAAACAACTGAGGTGCCGATGTTGATTGTTAGGTCAAGAGTGGGACAATCTTTTCCCGGAAGGAAGAGCAGCAAAGTCTTGTCGAGGTTGAGCTTGAGGTGATGAGCAGACATCCACTGAGAGATGTCAGCTAGACAAGCAGAGATGCGTGCGACGACCTGGGTCTCTGAGCGGGGAAAGGACAGAATTAATTGGGTGTCGTCAGCGTAGCAGTGGTAAGAAAAACCATGCGGGCTAATGACTGATCCGAGCGAGTTTGTGTACAGGGAGAAGAGGAGGGGACCAAGAACAGAGCCCTGAGGGACCCCTGTAGTTAATTGACAAGGGTCGGACTCAGACCCTCTCCAAGTCACCCTGTAGGTACGGTCTTTCAGGTATGAGGTGAGGAGGGAAAGTGCTGAGCCTGAAACTCCAAGTTTTTGGAGAGTGCGAAGGAGGATCTGATGATTCACCGTGTCGAATGCAGCAGACAGGTCCAACAGGATGATGACGGAGGAGAGGGATGCAGTTTTGGCAGTGTGCAGTTCTTCCGTGACAGCAATGAGAGCAGTTTCTGTGGAGTGACCTTGAAACCAGACTGGTGCGGATCCAGAAGGTTGTTCTGATTGAGATAACAGGAGAGTTGTTTAAAGACAGCACGTTCAAGTGATTTAGACAGGAACGGGAGGAGAGAGACAGGCCTGTAGTTTATAACATCAGACGGGTTGAGAGTGGGTTTCTTTAGGAGGGGGTTTACTCTTGCCTCCTTGAGACTGTTTGGAAAGTGACCAGAAGTTAGAGAAGTGTTGATGAAGTGGGTGAGAAACGGTAGAATATCAGGAGCGATAGTCTGAAGGAGGTTTGAAGGGATGGGGTCCAGAGGACAGGTGGTAGGGCGGGCAGCGGTAATGAGGGTAAGAACCTCACTTGGAGAGAGAGGAGAAAAGGAGGTTAGTGTGTTGGTGGAAGGAGGGTCTGGTGACCCAGCGGTGAGTAAAGGTGAGTCAGAAAAAGAAGAGCGAATATCAACCTTTTTTTCAAAGTGGGTAACAAAGTCGCTTGACAGAAGTAATTGTTAAATTTAGCAGGATCTGTTGGCAGAAATGTAATCAAAATACGTTATTATTTTTTCTTTTATCTCATAAAACTTCAAATCAAAATACAAAGCATCAGTTCAATCAGAAGAGACGTGATGTATGGAATACATATTTATTATCGGTCACATTATATACATGAAACATAATGATGACAGTTTATAACAAGTGAATGAAATGTGTTTTGGCGATTAGGCCCAGGTTTTGTAGGATATCAATCGGGAAGGGAAGAACCGTTTCCGATGAACCCCCCTGGGTCTAGACCAGGGGTGGGGAACCTCCGGCCCCCGGGCCGTATACGGCCCGTGAGACAATTTGGTACGGCCCTCGAGGTAATTTATAAACACACGCAAAAAATTAAAGAAATCTAGACCCCCCACTTAAATCATGTCCACATGGATAGGAAACTCAATACATTGGCACACATCTTGTGTCCATATCTTTCTGTTCTGGTGGTCATGCCACACCGTGCACGTGCGAGTCATGGTGAGATATCTGGATTAAGAGGTTGCTTTTTCTTTGCACAGCATGAAAGAAAGGCGAAATTAATGGGCTGTGATTTTAGTATTTTTAAGCAGAGGTCAATAATTTGTACGGCCCCCGGAGGATGTTGAAAAAATTGAAATGGCCCTTGAGAGGAAAAAGGTTCCCCACCCCTGGTCTAGACACTGGTGGTGGTGATAAGTGGTTAGGTCCGGTTGGAAGGGAGAAGGTTAAGCTTGGCCCTGAGTTGAAAGCAGGAGGCGAAGGAGTGGAGGAGGGTTGCGCGTTGACACCTGGAAGACAGCTGATAGGAAAGGGGAGAGCATATATAGAGGGATTAACAGGTGCGATGATTAGGCTTGTAAATGGAGGGGAGTGATAGGGAGCGCCACTCCTCAGCTAACCTGTCATTAGTGCAGGGAGCGAGTATTGCCATGACGTACAATACGGAGTGATAGGTCTTCCTGTCTGAACTTGCGCTAAGCTTCATTTCAATCAGGAGAGACGTGATGTATGGAATACATATTTATTATCGGTCACATTATATACATGAAACATAATGATGACAGTTTATAACAAGTGAATGAAATGTGTTTTCGCGATTAGGCCCAGGTTTTGTAGGATATCAATCGGGAAAGGAAGAACCGTTTCCGATGAACCCCCAAAAGAATGAAGTATGAAGTACTGAACGTGAAGGATCTTACCTTGTGGGATGCAGTGGAAATCTACGGATGGAAGAGAGGTTAATACATGTGAGAATTTAAACATCTGATGCCTCCCGGGCATCCTTCCTGGACATACAGGGCTTCCCGGACGTACGGGGCATCCCGGACGTACGGGGCATCCCGGACATACGGGGCATCCCGGACATACGGGGCATCCCGGACGTACGGGGCGTCCCGGACGTACGGGGCATCCCGGACGCACCGAGCGACCCGACGTGCGGGGCGCCCGGAACGTGCAGGGCTTCCCGAACGTGCGGGGCAACCTGACTTTAGCAGGGACACATTATACGGACCGGAGGTTAACGACCCGGACATACGGGGCTTCCCGGACGTACGGGGCATCCCGGACGTACAGGGCGTCCCGGACGTACGGGGCGTCCCGGACGTACAGGGCGTCCCGGACGTACAGGGCGTCCCGGACGTACAGGGCATCCCGGACATACAGGGCATCCCGGACATACGGGGCATCCCGGACATACGGGGCATCCCGGACATACGGGGCATCCCGAACGTACGGGGCGTCCCGGACGTACGGGGCGTCCCGGACGTACGGGGCATCCCGGACGCACCGGGCGACCCGACGTGCGGGAGGCACCAGGCGACCCGATGTGCAGGGCGCCCAGAACGTGCAGGGCTTCCCGAACGTGCGGGACAACCTACCTTAGCAGGGACACATTATACAGACCCGAAGGTTTTACAACCTGGACATACAGGGTTAGATATGCAGAATAAACATGAGCCGCGGGGCGACATACGTGCTGACATGCACCACCACCAGTTATATGCATACGTACCAATTTAAGGTTGGAGAGACCTTTGGATAGCCAGCACGGCATTGAGGTCAGGGCGAATGTAGGATGAGAAAGCGGAGGAGGACCACCGTCCGAGTTGTTGCAGGGATGAGGATGAGACACCTTGATTAGCAGCGGAAGTAGCTGCGCCTATTCTAAAGGAATGCCCCGTGTATAGAAGGGGTGATAACCCGGATTTAATGAGGACTTGTTTTAAATAGATATTGAACTGTCGTTGAGTTAAAGGAAAATTCCCTGAGATAAGGAATAATGGTCAGAGAGGATTAGAGGTAGGTCTAAGCTGTAGGAATTTGATCATGGATTTATAAGGGCAGAACTGGGAGTCGATGCGGGCGGCGATGACAGAGCCGGCGCCGCCGCATTTGGAGTGTTTAAGATATAAGCTAAAGTGGCTAGCGTGAAAGGATATGTCAGAAAAGCTGACGTCTCGATTGGAATCAAATGTAAGGGAAGCTGTGGTAAATTCACCTGGTCTAAGAAAGGCCTAAAAAGCTAGGAGAAATAGAGCGTCGAGTAGTGAATCGATATAAGGGGAGAATAACCCACTTCTAAGTTTTGAGAGCATGAGGCGTAAGTGGAGAGTGTAATAGGGCGTCTCCGGTCTAAGACGGGGGGGAAAAGTTTTGATGAGACCTTTGAGGATGAGTTTGACTGACTGGTTTGCGAACAGGCTGGGAAAGCCGGGATCGGAACAGCGAACGTTAAACTGCACTCCTGCTAAGAGGCCCCGGATGCTTTTTAGATTGACTTCTTCTTTTCGAGGTGTTAGATCCAGCGAGTGTGATAATAAATGTGTAGCAATAGTGGAAATCTGAGTGTGCCGCTATGCGGATGATCTCATGTCAATGTCCCCCCCAAAAACGGAGGATGTGCGGTGCACGTCCTTAAGTCGGGGAAAACGCGGTCGTCGTGAGGCCGGCGGATGCCACGTCCAGAACGGGAGATGATGGCGTGCCGAAGAATATCCGCATGTAAAGTACGGTTGCCCGATGAGGAAGAGCAACTGTCGTTGAAGACGTTTATGTGGATGCACGCAGTTTGGTTAGAGGAACGTTAATACCATGAGCTTGATGTGATGCCTAGGAACTCCAGGTGTGTGACTGGGCCTATAGTTCCTCATGATTAGGAACGCTGTGCTCCTGGAGGATTCTCTTCTTCTTTCTTCTTCTCTTTTCCCAGTTGAGCGGAGTTATAGGTTAGTAATGTTGTATTTGAACACTAGATGCGTAAAGACAACGCATGAGGAGATCTCCCTGAGCAGTGGGTGATTTGAACTGGGGAGAGACAGCTATTAATATTATTTACCCGAATAGCCGGTGCACACGTAGTTTCTCCTTACTTGACTGCCGCTTAAGGCTGAAAGAGTTCCGCTGAACGATGATGGGAACTTTAAAGCGCGTCGTTAATATCTGCTTTGAAGAGCCAGCCTTGGCCTGCACCTATTAAGATTACATTATCTCCGTGCGTAGAAAGGGGGGAACATTGACCTTTGTCATCGAGATTGCCCTGAGCCTTTAACAAATCGTATTAAATAATCTGATGACAGACTGTAAACAGAATAGCTGAAATTTTAACAAACTAAATAACTCCGTTACCTCTAATCATTAACCCATGTTTGTATAATGTGGTTAACTCCGTGTGTTGCTGCTAGCATACATAACACCTGACGTGGAAACGTTACTCGTGGATGGGGCTACAGAGCTGCTAGAAAGACGGTCGAACCCGGTACATTCCTCCGTCTGCATGCGGTGCACTTTGCTAAATGTTTAGACAAATTGCTCGTGCGCCCTTACATGCTAAACTCTTATTGCACTTATGGTAACAAGTATTCTCCACATCGAGACGGGTAAAGTTTAACCACACCTCGGAGCGCGTTCTCTCCACCATCTCCGCAGTGTGCTCCGCTGCATGTAGCAGCTGCGTGTGTGTAAACTGCCCCGCCCCCTCGCACACAGACGGGGGAGAGATCTCGTCTGATCGAAAATACATCATAGACGCATTTGTTGTCTTTGCATATTAGAAACGAGTTGGCGACACTAAGACTGCGATATAATGTTTTTTAGCAATAATACATGACATATATTTTATAAATGTCTCCGGTACCGATAAAAGACCAATAGATGAGTGTAACACCTACGTCACTTCCGGGCAAAAATTACGGCCCCGCCCACTTTTGGGGGAAAACAACGCTGTCATTTGAATGGCGGTTAATACAAATTCTGAAGTTTTTGCCAATCCGATCAAAACATTTTTTTAAAACCGTCGATTTTTGGATCTTCAAAGAGCCCGATTACGATGGCCAGACAGGCAAACAATTACATTTGATCATTGGTAATCGACAATTGGTCTTGATATATGGTTAAATTAAAATCAGTAGGCGAGGCTGTAATTTCTCCAGCTGTTACTCTCATGAGCGAGGCGGAACAAAATAGTTGTATCATGCCAACAAGCTGCCGTGTCGTTTATTGCTCCTCAAACATTACAAATAATCCAGAGTTCAGTGTTTCTGTACTTCCTCTAAGAAGAAAGGACAGCAAAAGAGCTCTGTGGCTTCAGGCTCGATCGCCGTTCAAATGACAGCGTTGTTTCCCCCAAAAGTGGGCGGGGCCGTAAAGTGACGTCGATGTTACTCTCATCTATGAAAATCGATAGCCTACTGCTATATTTAACCATATATCGAGCCCGATCGTCGATTTCTAATGGCTTAATGCAATTGTTTGCCTGTCTAGCCATTGGAATCGGGCTCTTTGATGATCCAAAAATCTCCGGTTTTCTTAAATTTCTGATCGGATTGGCAAAAACTTCAGAATTTGTATTGACCGCCGTTCAACTGACAGCGTTGTTTTCCCCCAAAAGTGGGCGGAGACGTTATTTTTGCCCGGAAGTGACGCATTTGTTACTCTCATCTATACGTTGGAACTTAACGGCGCGTAAAACACACGTGATGACGTCACCAATGAATCGACGACTGAATTAGTTGGTAACTAATTTGGTAATCGATTAAGTCGATTAGTTGTTGCACCCCTACTGCCGAGGAGATGTTGTTGTCGCAGATCCAGCCGTTGGTGCAACGAGAAACGGAATATTTCTTAGTGGAGAAGAAAAAGAGAAAAATACGATCATTCAGTCAATAATCATTAAATTAATATTGGGAGTGAATTCCTCATTTATTTAGTATCTGGTCGTGTCATAAACAGGATAATGTGCAGCGACTTGGTCATTGAGGAAAATAAGCCCTACGAAACGCCATTTATTTCAGGTAACACTGTGTTGAAGCTTGAAACTGCGTTAGTTACTGAGCATTGTAATGGGTAGTAATTACCCGAACTGCATTAGTAATGCAAGTAATACGTTACTGAACTCCATACTGTAACACGTTACACCCAACACTGCCTGCTGGGACTTACCTAACCCTGAACTAAAGGTAGCAATGCATAGTGTTGAACTTCCTGTCGGCTCCCAGACCGTAGTCGAGGAAACGGGGGGGATGACTCTCTGTCGTCTCCCAGGGCAGAAGCAACACGCTTCGGGTTCAATAACCCATTTTATCGGAAATACTGGAGAGAGGCGAGCTCTTCTTGGGAGGTCGTTGCATTTATTTAGCTCTTCTGTTTCGCAAGATCACAGACCTTCCTTTTTCTGCTGCCTCGTTATTTCTAGAAACATGTATCCCGCTCGCTCTACCATACCATGCCCGCGCACACATGCACGCGCCACACCCCTCTCTTAAAGGGGTAGCGATCTCACTCTGGATGACCCAAATGTCATAACGATATACGAAACATCTCGTGAATTTGTTGCAACTGCCTCTTGCCAGCGCTTCCCTGACGCCTGTTTTAGAGGTGAGGCGCAGGAGGAAGTAGCTTCAATGGGATGTAGCTTACGCCCTGCCTGCCTGCAGGAGGGGTTGTGGTTGAAGCCAATGGGTAAAGCTTCGCATGCGATGAGGACCCGTTCCGCGTGAAGCCGGAAGCGCCGCATTTGAGCGGCCCTGATGCCGGTGATGCCCTCTTGAGAGACTGAAGGCGTGCGTCAATTGTTTGCGTGAAGTAGCCCATTTCCATTAGCCGGAGGAACTTCCGTGGAGCCCGATTTCCTTGTCTTTTCCTCCCGCGTCCGGGTTTGCGGGGCGGCCGGCTGGAACCGCTAGCCGACTGGGGGACGCCGCCTGTAGCTTAATCCGCGAGACTGTGGAGCTGATGAATAATGCCTGGAGCTGGGACGAAGCCCTGCTGCTGCTTGCGCGTTGACACCTGGAAGACAGTTGATAGGAAAGGGGAGAGCATATATAGAGGGATTAACAGGTGCGATGATTAGGCTTGTACATGGAGGGGAGTGATAGGTTAGTTGAGGAGTGGCGCTCCCTGTCATTAGTGCAGGGAGCGAGTATTGCCATGACGTGCAATACGGAGTGATAGGTCTTCCTGTCTGAACTTGCGCTAAGCTTCATTAGTTGAGATGCCTCTGTTGGGCCTAAAGTCATAGACCGACCCACTGATCTTTATTACCATCTCTAGAGCCACATATTTATACATATTCAAATATTCATAACATGTTCATAATATTTCTTATTGTATAAATGTAAACAATATATATTTTTTTTCATGTTATTCTATACTATCACTAACTTATTCTAATTATACCTTGTTTGAACACCTGTCCTATTCTGTGTTTCTATCTCATTACTGTTGCTAAAACACCTGAATTTCCCTACGGGATCAATAAAGGTTTATCTTATCTTAGAATATAATTGACAACCTCCGGCTAAACTATACTTTCACATACCCTTAGTTTGCAGAGTGAGTTACATTTAATCAAACAGGTGTTCAGCGTGGTCTCTTTAACCTCTCACTATCCATCTGCTGATCTATTGTGTGCAGTCTGAGCTTTATACTACACTTGAACCCCCCATGTTGATTTAACTTTATTAATGGACTGTTAATGTTTGTTCAGGGAAGATTAGTTTTCCATTAATGCTCTGAATCTTTGAGAGCTTATTCCAAAGGGTGACGGGTATTTTCCACAAAAACCTTTTCACCCATACTGTGTTTCTGCCTTAAAAGTACAGTTGTATTGAAAATGTATTATTAAAGGTTCATCCTGCTACACAGCACTATCAGGAATAGGTCTAGGTGTTGCACTGGTTCCAAAGAGCAGGACATGCTTTAAAGGATCCAATCTGTATGCCATCTCCTACTCTGAACCAATAACCGACAATTTCCCCCACTTTCTGCTTCCTAGTCAGCTGCAAAATTACAGATTTACTTACAGTCAAGGGGGGAAGTGGATCGCTGAAGGGCGAATATTGAAGGAGAGAGGGGGAAAGATGAGAGAGAGAGTAATGGATAGAGAGCTGAGAAAAAAAATTAAAAATCCCAGGCCATCAGTAGTTTGAGCATAAATTCAAATAGAGCATGGACTGCTGAATGACAGCAGGGAGAGATGAGAAATGGCATATGCTAATTTAGGTTTATGCGCCCGATATGTCCCATGAGAGGTTTATAATAATGCTGAGGCATTGTGACACTCTGTGCTCATTACCGCCATAATGAAGAGAATATGCTAATAGCGGACTCATCTGCTAACAAAGTAAACAACACCTTCACACCCAAACAGAGAGCAGTTCGTTGATGGACATGAGAGGAGACAAAGGAAGATTTTTCAAACAAAATCTGAAAATGAATGATCAGATAATGCCTCATCATTCAATTCAAATATGCCATGCATACACATCTGGGCCCAAAGTCAGGATGATATGAGTTGAGTAGCAGGTATGTAAAGTAGCCAGGAGTCCAGAGAGGTCAACCCAAATGCTCAGATCAATAGACTGAATACATGCTTAGACTGGCAGAACTCTGAGTGCTCAAGTGAAAGACTTAACGGACAGGGGGAACTTCTGATCCTCTGTCCACACTCTCAAACTCCAGGAGATGAAATAGAGAAAACACCGGGTCAAAGCATGGAAGGGAATCTGCTGTGAACAGCATGCACAAGCTTTACAATAATCCCTCACGTTTCCTTCTTCATTTTTGTCCTGACATGCACGTTTGTGCGTATAGATAAGTAAGTGCACGGGCACCTTAAAAGGACCCACACACAAACGGTTCAGGTTTCGTTTAATGAGCGATATGCGAGCAAGTACAGAAATAAAGATACAAGTGATATGGATCATATGCTAATATGGCTGAGAGGGTAAAAGTGAGCATGTTTCATTGCTATAGCAACAGCCTTTGTACTTGTGGAGGAAAGT